TCAGTGCCGGGGCTATCCTGTGGCAAAATGGAAGGAAGATCTGAAGCTTTGTTTTCTCCCTGAAGGTGGTATCTTAATGGGAAAGGTCCAAGTTCCGCCCCGAAACATCCAAGGATCTGAAACACAAGTTTGAAAAATGAAATTTTTTAAACTGTAATTCAGCTAAGTTTTTCCATACATTATATTCCTGGTATATCCCCAAGCCAAATCACCCCTCAACTTCCCATGGGAACACCTGAACATACCGTAAGATTTAAGATTTCTCTTTGATTTGGCTTGATGACATCAGAAAAATGCTCCAGTCACCCCACTTCAAAGTTATAACTGTTGCCACTGACTGAGCACTTACTATGTGCTAAGCATGTGCCAAGTACTTCACACCCCGTTATCTCAAGCAATACTGGCATAGCCCTGTGAGGTAAGATGCCACTAGTAACTCTACTTTCTAGACGATGAGAGTAAGGCTTTGAAATATTAAGCAATTTGCTCAAGTTCACATGATTAATTAACAGTAGGCCAAGGATGTGAACCCATGTCTGCCTGACTTTGGAGTTTATACTCTTACCGCTGGAATACACTTCTACCACAGACAACAGCACAGTCACTTAGGCCTGTTCTCGACCTTATTTCAAGGGGAGCCTATGGGCCCCGTCACAGAGTAAGGAACCTGGACCAACTGTGCGGAGGCACACAGCAAGGATCTCAAGCGAAAGCTGAAAATGGCAAGCGAGATGGAGCGCGGCTGCTGTTTCTCTATACCTGTAGCGAGGCGGGCCACCTGGCAGTCTTCACATTTGCCCGGACTCCTCTTTTGGCAGCACAGCTGGTGGCAGGTTTCGTTTCTCTTCTCTGCTTGATTCCTTGCTTGATTCCAAAGGGTATTTTTCCAACTTATTAAAAAAAAATGGACTCATGCATTTTACAAAGAGGTAATCCATCAAAAACGGTCCCATGTAATCCAGGATGAGGTTTAACGTCATTGTGTAGCTATACTAGGTGTAACCCCAAAACCCACTGCCATCAAGTCAATTCTGACTCATAGGGACCTTATAGTAACACTAACGATAAAATTAATCTAACAAAGTATAAGAGCTGATGTTACATTATCAGACAATAGATTTTTAAAATGTATTTCAGGACTTTTTTGAGAATCGCGGCCCAAAGT